AAAAATTCTAATATTTTCTACGAGATAAAACTTGCTACATGCGATATGAAGCAAGAATGATTTATTGCTTGAAATATTATAAATATATTGATTGTGAAACAATAAAAAATTTAGAGATCTTTCATTCTTTAAACTTCACTCTTTTTCACAGACACACGAATGCCATTAAGCAAATTTTCCATTCACACATACGTGTAAGGCTTTGCTTGAGCGAATCATGCGTCCCTTATCGATGAATCAAACGTGAGACAAGTAATTTGCGTCATGAGCCGTGGTGTGTATCGGATGCCAGTGATATCAGACTTGGACAATCGCACACTGAACTCTCGGCCGATCGCTGAATTCTAATCATTCGTTCCGCTGCGACCGCTTTTCCCCGCATACATCGACGACGAGACAATGGAATCGGCGGTCTTAGCACAGACGATGTGAAACGTCGCGTCGTCTTGGCAAAGAAACCACGAGGAAGAAGATGAGGAACGACAGGCGGATGGGGGTGGATGGAACGGAGGAGAGACAGGCCCTAACGGGCGACGAGAGTCTCACAAGAGAGAGAAAGAGAGAAAGGGAGAAAGAGAGAGAGAAACGAATGCATCTCGAAAGCGGTTGCAAGTTTCAAGACGTTGCTAAAGGGAACCGTACGCGACATTCTCCTCTTCTGCCTTTACGTCCTCCTTACGTTCTCTTCGTCCTCTCTCGAGACCCGCTCCCTCGCACTTCCCTCTCTTTCACGTCAATCCCGCGTGGTACCACGTTTCTTTTCCCGATGACGGCAACTTTTTATCAGCCGCGGGACTCACATACTTCCTGCCCGGACAACGGGCTGAAATTCCACGCGGTAGTCGTCACGATACACAGTAAGAAGCTAATCGAGCTGGATCCGCCAGAAGGAGCTGCCGAGTGATCCGGAGGGTCCCGCAGGAGATTCTCCACGGGGTGCCAACGAGACGTTCCAGTCTTTCCCGGCTGTTCTTGCGCCGGAGAAAACCACGCGCAGTACCAGTACGTTTTTTGCGTAACTTAATGAAGCGAAAGAAAGGCCGGCTTCTTCTCCATTAGGAGATTTAACTCGCAGCGCATGGACTTTGCTCTTTTTTCTTTGCCTTTTTTTTAACGAGTACTCATTTCTTGAGACACGGTATTCGAGACGTTCGCTGTGCTGTCGAAAAATGACAATTGATTGCCGAACGCGATGAATTTAGCGCGAATAGATTGCTGCGAATCGATTCTATAACCTTATAAAATTACAATACATAAAGAAATATCATAATAATGAAAAAAGATTTTTGCCAATATGCAATGAGACATAGATATATTTTCATGCTAATATGGTGATAAATATGCAATATAAATTTTGTCAGACCGTCTATCGATTTAAATAACAAAAGAGAGTTCTCGATTAAATAATAAAACGTTAAATAATATTGATTAATATGACGTTACTAAAATATTTTGTGCACAATTACGGAAAGACACGGGTGAACGTTTTCTCGGTAGAACGATTGATGATCCTTTACGTGACGGTGGAAAAATCATTTGGAAAATCGACGAGCTTCCGTTGCCGGCGCGGCATAAGTATTTGCGCCAAAGTTCGCAGTAATGTCTGGCGGAGGTTGCCTCTTTGGGAAAGTGGAAACAGCTGCTAGAATGCCCCGACAAGGCCTTTCGGCGTTGTAATAACGGGGACTACACGAGCATCTTCGAGGATAACGCGACAGGAAGTTTCACCGCGGAGTGCCCGTGGTACATGCAACAGGGCCGAGGTCAACTGTCGACGAGTGATACCTACGCGGTTAGAAAGTCAGAGGAGATGTTCAGCGATTGATGCAACGTCTCCTTCACGAACGTCCGACTACACTCGCTTTAATGCCGAGAAACGGCTGTTAATTGGAAAATCGGCCGTTGCGGTTGATTCAACTCTCCGGGATGCGAAAGACGCTTCTTCAGCTTTAGAGCTTGCTCGGTGAGAATGCAAGGAGCTCTTCATGGGGTGCCAAGGAGCGCGCAGGAAAACTTGTTTTGCTTTCCTACAGTAGAAAGGAGGAATTACTACGCAGGCGTGATTATGCTGTCACCGTATTGATACGAGTCGCTTCTCTGACGTCGCAAAGCCCGATAAGACACTAAGCAAAGTTGCATAATGTACACGCGGAGATGATCAACATAGACAAAAAATACATATATCTTGATAAATACGAGGAATATCATAAATATTATTTAGTGATTAATGACACTATATTTAAACTTATTTGGTGGAAAAATCAAGACACTTAACGTCATATGAAGTGTGTGCGCCCAACCTGTCGGCAATATTTACATGACAGGGCACGTTAATAAACGAACTGAAAGGAAGGCGTAGTTAAGTTTCCTCGAGATTTCCTACCTAGCTCGCAAACGTCAGCTATAATCGACATAGCAATAAACAGACCTTCCTTTGGTAAAATGAATGCGGAGATATACCACTAAAAACACACCTCGCGTTCCAAATACCACGCGATCGCGATATCGCCGTGAGATAAACTAGAGAAACAAATATCCGTCGTTCGATTATTTTCAACAAACTCGAATTTATGATCGACAAGTTGACGCGGAGTCGAGAATGGAACGGCGCGTGTACGCGTTCCTCCAAGTTCGAATATCTACAGAGTACCTGGCGTAACGTCTATCTTTACGTCGATCGTGTCATAAATTGGCTTATTAGTTCAACGTATCGGATAAGAGGACTCAGGATACACGCTTATCTGTTTCTCTATCTATCCGTTCATGCTCGTACGAATGTTCTGAATTCTGATCCTTCCTCTTTCCCTCTTTCTTTCCGTCTCTAGCGGAAAGACACGGGAAATCCGGTACCGATTGTGTGCCTAGCTGGAGAATTATTTGACACCACCGACCAAACGACCGTGCCTGGGGCACGATAACCCTAACGAGTTGTGATTTCGCGGATACCCGATTACGACGTGATATCATCCACGCACGCGGTAACGTCACGTGTACATACATGCATCGAAAGAGCCGGAGTGGCATTCGTCCGGCCAAATATAACCCGCGTTGCTACAACTGACGAGGATTTTATCTGCGTGAAGATTGGCACTCGAGCGTGCACCGCTAAATTTCGATACAAAATCATCGATCGCCGGATGTGCACCGCGATGCGAAACTTTTCAGATGTCAGTATACCGCGATCGATCTCGCAGATCGTATTTGCATCGGTCGTATTTATACGACTAAAAAAAAAAAAAAAACGCTAACTTGAACTTTACGTAACAAACACGATGCGTGTTCTACATTGCGTAAGATAAATTGACAATTGCCATTTGAGGCTTAAAGGAGTTCACGCTTCCGCGTTTTCTTGTAAGATGTATTTTATCTAACTGACGTTCATCCTACGCGGAGTTCATGTAATTTTCAGGCGCGTCTGCGCCTCAACCTTGCTCGTAACGGAACCTTGTGTTTTGCGAAATATAAATACCTCGATGATTCCCGCGCCTGGACCGTAGCACTTTTTTAAATCGTAGACGATTACAGTAAAATGAGGATTTTGAGCAATGTTATTACCGGTCGGCTAGCGATAGAACTAGTTTACGTGTCGGCATATTAACCTCGAAAACTGTAAATGATTATTGCAGTCTAAGAATGGCCACGAAACGAAATTACAGTAATTATCCCGACGTGCTTAACTAAAACGAGGTTTCTCCGCTTTGGTCGGTAATTGCGCTAGTATTGCTAGGTTCCTGCTGACACGATGCTTTATCGGTTGCTTTAGGCCTCTTGAACCTTCCCATCTTCCTTAATCTACCTACTAATCACCAATTTACCTTTGATAAATTGGACTATATTAATCCGGGTCTGTTTAAAATGAGTTTGGTATGAGAATACTATCTTATTTGTACTAAGTACGCACATTTAACAATTTTAGTTTTAGTGCAGCGAGACCCTTTTCCAAAACGTTTGACTTTGATTCCGTTGAATAAGTATAAAAGCATTTTATCGACGCGCACTCAAAGTTTCTAGTTTATTAATTAAGATATAAGTGAGTAAATAGCGGGCATATAAAATTGTAGCATGCAACTTATGTACGTGTAGCGGGAACTCGAGATTGAGTGTGTGTAATTTTTCGCAAATTTATGTTATTCAGGTCAATATCAATTTATTCTACATCAAATTTGAAAGCGCGAGATTACACGCGCTTTCTGAAATTACGGTGTGTATTAACTGAGCGCCGCGGCTAGATATTACCAGATATACGATTCGGCAAACCAATTAAGTAAACTCGTACACGATAAATATCCAAAATTACAGTGCATTAGCTGGGTACAAGATACGCGTAATACCACGTTTTTCCTGACTAAACGATTTTACGATCAATAATCGATCGGCCAGGAAAGTCCTTGCTTCCCGTAATATGATGCGAGGTCGATACTTCTACATCCTCAGAGGCTGAACGTATCGTAATCGTGAAAACTATTGCCCACCGTGCGCTGCAGTTAACAATTACCAGAATCTCTCCAACTAATGACGCGATTCCAAAGCAGCTTCTAAGTTTCGCAAAAATATGTACTCAAATAATCAATCTGATAAATAATCGATTTCAAATCAAGAATCATGTTTTTGTCATAAACAATAATTATTTTTTCTCTTACAATAGTTTAATCTAAAATTTTCTTCATCGCGCTCAACTTAAATATCAGTATTTCAAATCAGTATTTCTCGATATTATTGACGATAGAATACAAGATGTGCAATGGTAAAATAAAAAAGGTATGTTTACAGTACTAATAAACCATATTGCAACCGTATATTTTTAAAATTATATTTATCTTTCAATGTTATGTATATTTAATATGATTTAAAAGAATAATATAAAACTACAATAATTTTGCATTTAACATTTTGTTCCTGTTGCAACTAATGAACAATAATCCGAGATAAAAACTAATGTAGAAATCTGAAGAACTACAATTTTGCAGTTGCAATATTTTTCATTATATCTGTGTACTCACCGAACCGTTGATGGCGACTGCGTAACCGAGGGCGAGCAGGACGACGAGGACCCGAAAGATCGTGGAGTCGTCGGCGATCATGCCCGGAAGCGAATTGGTGGATCGCAGCCAGCAGGGCGACGAGCGTAGACGGTTCGACGGCGACGGGGACGCATTCGTCGGCGTGACAGGCCGGTGGTGTTCCCGTCGCGGACGCATCGCGTCATGATCGCGACGTGCTGCCGCTCGCTTCCTGCAAACGTGGGCCCGACGTGGCTCGGGCTCGACGGCTGTTCCACACGTATCTACCTACCTACCTACCCACCCTCGGGACGGAGCACGAGGGAGAGCCTATACGTGCATGAACGCGTGCCCGCGCCGCACGCTCGTGTACGGCTACGGCGGCGGCGGCCCTACGCGCCGCCACACGCGGGTCTATAAATACGGGCGCGACTCCACGCGAAGAATTTCAAACAACCGCGCCGTAAAATACCGTCGGTGAGCCCGGGCAGACTCTGAGGCTCGATCTTCCGACCGAGTACCACCGTCGTCGAATCCGTCGCGAGATACGATAGGCCTCTTGGCCTTGACACTGCGTGTCCTAAGCCCGAACTCGATCTGAAACCCAATATAGATAGGTCTGGCTTTAGGTGAATATACAGCATAAAGACATTGGATCTAATGGAGAAAGTTACCGGTTACTTTCTCAGAAGTTATGCAGAAGCGGTACCTATGATTGCATCTATTAAGGTAATTACTCAAGCGACTCGCATTAATTTTATTTGAAAAGTTGCAGAATTTGAAGAAGTTACTTTTATATGGGAAAAGTTCGCGACGCGCGTTTAATCATAAGTAGGACTTCAGTGATAATATTCCAACAATCGTATACCGGCCGTTTATTTTATACGCGCCGCGAAGATTCCTATTATAGCGCAGCATGATTTATATCTCTTCCAGCCGGCGTTCAAGTCGGCCAGCTAAGAAACGAATAATGTAAAAAAAAATATACATTTCATGCATTTTAACCAGTTTGTATCCAACGAAACCGTTTGACGTCTCATTCTCGCGTGCAAATCGTTACGAGATCAAAAGATCCTACTTGACGTTTGTACCCCTTGAAGAATACGAGCGCTTTCGTTGCTCTATACCTCGGTTCCCTAAATAACGTGCACCAACAGGGGAGATCTTATCCCGGTGCTTCAACATCTCCGAAAGAATAAATAGCTCGAAGTTGTGAAGAACGATCGCATCAAGGTCGATCGGTAGACGTCGCGGAGACGCCGATAGATATTAATGGGGAATCTGCTATTTCCGACGTTTTACCTTCGATGAGTTCACAGCAGTAGCAGACGACGACGACGGACAACGTTGGAGACGAGTAGCGGTAGCAGATGAAGACGGAGCGCGATCGTCTTCCGCGTGAATGTCCGGTCTGTCGGCGGGCTTGTTGTAATAACGACGATCGTGCCTGATAGTCGTTTACCGCGAATCGCCATCCGCGGGATTAAAGGCGAGCCCTGTTTCATGAAGATATCATTCCTTCTCTCCAGCCGGTAAAATTGTCCAGCGTGGAATACGACGTGGTGGTGGTGGTGACGGGGGCTGCGGGCGCACACCGCGCCGGCCAACCGCGGAACCGGCTGATATTTTTAGGTTCTCCCGACTTCCAACCGACTGTCTGTCTTCACCTTTGAGAGCCTACCTAGTCGCTCTTTCAGCTCGCGGTGATATCTTTGTTCTTCCCCGAAGCACTCTCCCGCATCACGTACGTCGGTATTGGCGGCGAATCATGCCGCGTCTCGGTAAGCTTGATCGATGAATTCGCGATGAGATATTTCGGTCCTCCTTTGAGTCGGCGTTCGATTCGCGCGATTGCGTTCCTCGCGACTTGCTGGATCTTGGATTTGTTGTGCACGAATTAGCATCCCATTAATATCTCGTCACATTTGTTTCTCGATAAGGTGGAGTAACGTTTAGTGTCCTAATTGCATCGCGCGCATAGTCTCAACATCTTGACACAGATAAGTCAGCAGAGCTGCTATTCAGCTACTCTTCAGCTTTTTCCCCCCGAGTTCTTCGTCTATTATTCTATCTCGCGTATGTCATCGACAAGCTGATATCTCTTTTTAATTAGTCCATTAGAAGCTCTCTACCGCCAGCTTCCTCGTCGATCGATTCTTCGATAATAAAGACGGATGAATCGTCGAGAAAATGCAATCGTCGTTCTACACCGGTAATTTCGTGCAAAGACGTTCATCTGTCATCGGAAGCGCGGTAAGGATGTAGGCTAACTCGATCGCGCGATTCATCGGCGCGAAATGACACTGTTCCGATGTGTCGCTCGTGCGGGAGCCACTCGGGCAAGCACACGCACGTGGCTCCAGGCCGACTGACGAGATACAAGCACGCGAGAGGAAGTATCAACGGAGGCTGCTGAGAGGAGTGGCTGCCAAGCCAGGCGGAAGTGGAGGGTGATTCTGCAGCGGGAACAGAGCCGGGCGGCGGCGGTGGGGTAACGACGGCAGATGGGACCTCTATACCTTATCGAAGTCGAAGACGCGTTTACGGTTGATCACGCGTAACGCCCGCGCGAAGATGGATTTGTATCGATGAGATGTGGTTGTTGTTTATCTGTACCGTGTTCGGCAAAACGGTAGGAGAGCTCGCGGAAAGCTCTTGCTGCTGGTCGACAATCGCCAACCGGACAGACTGGTCTCAACCGCGATAACATCGGCTCTTTTCCGACATTAATTTTAAAATAGATTAGCCGCTTAATAGCGCGGTACTAAAATGCTCTTACGCCCTGCATCCCGGTTGTTATGTTCTTGCGCAGCTCGGATCGCGCCGACGGAGATACTTGGCGATTTCTTGTCCAATTAAGACGTCAGAGTATGGTACGACGTACACGTACGCGTTACAGATGTAAAGAAAATATTTTAAAAGATCGTGAGATTCTTGAGTCGCCTTTAATATTAGATACTTATACTTCTATGTAACATGATCTTTAGTATTTTGGTACTACTGGACATCTAGGTCACTTAGACGTGTATCTTGTGTGCGAGATGATGATGATGATGAAAGATGCATGAATCCCGGAGAATCGTCGTGACACTAGAAAAGCTGCACCCGACAATTCTACGATGTCCAATATTAATGTCAATCGAACCGTACAGTGACGTTCTTCGATTCTTTAGAGTTTTTCGTAACAGATATGAAGACGTAACATATTAGAGATTATTGCGTATATCATTAACGGTCAGTCCAGAAGGACCGCACCTTCGTAATTCTAAACTTATTCATTCAACTTGGAAAAGGGGGGAAGTAGAGACCGACCACGGTCGGTTGAAGGATTCGGTTAATGACACACGTCGCAGTTGCCTACCAAAGTATCCCTGTGGTCCGAGCCACGCCCCGCTCTCGCAAAGAAGATTACACGAAATTGGCTGTTTTTGAGGAAAAAATAAGCAAGAAGCATGCCCGCTCTTCAGGCCGGTGATTTCGTTCCCGAAACGAGGACCGCTTTTCGACCTAAGCGAGACTGACTCACGTAAACGATATACGCTCGCGCTCTCGCATGAGCAGGTTCGGAGGCGTTCCGCTCGTTTGAGGAAACTGTTACATTGATCAAAATTGCTCGCATCCATCTCGCGCCGTATATAACGATTACGCGTCGACGTCACGACGTGCTCGCAATAACGAAGATTAACTGCGTTCCGCAGTCCCGCGCGGAACGCGATTAAGGTACGCGTCTCATTATCGCCACCGGTATCGCGGCGATCATCAGTTTCGCGACAACGTTTCTGCCCTATTCGATAATATCGCCTCGAGGGAACCAATTCTCGAATTACGTATGCGTGATCAAATTGATTGGCGCCCGCGGTCTCCAATCATAAAAGTAGAAACAAATTTTTGACGACAATATATATAGCCTCGCGTTCATCGTTGCTTATTTTTTTCTCGAATTATTCTTCAAGTTTATCGTTCGGATAATATATATATTATTGAAATAAACATAGATTAAGATTCACAAATTAGTGTAAAAATATTTCCAAATCAGTTCGCCGATGAAAACAAAAGCAGACATCGAATATCCCATTATAAGTACGTAGATCGTCGGATGGAATACGCTAACGTACTTAAAGTCCACATGATCTCGATTCACTTGAAATGCTGTCTCCTTCGTCTCGTTCCTCAGGTACTCGCGATACCATTTATCGCGAATGCCTGCCGACGCGATCATCAGACGTAAGTCGCTGACACGTTTGACGTAAGGCGATCCTTCCGAAAAAACATTACCGACCGCTGGCGACAGATAGCAGAGCTTCGTCATTTTCATCACGGTCTCGCCGTTCCGCATGTTGTTGACCGTGATCAGCTTCACCCGATCCTCATACAAAAAGCAGGATACGTTCTGGTGCATCACCAGATCCTTGAGACAGATATCTGCAGAGGGAATCCTTACGACGGTTTTGCCCGATTTGCGTACGTGATATTCGAAGTCGCTGCTGTGCAGCTTGATGATGTCCAGTATATTTTCATGCACCATCAACACCAAATCAGAATTCGTCAGATTCTGCAGGTGATCGAACTGAACGTAGCGATCGCCCTCGAAACCGATACTCGTCAATTCGGCGAAAAGCATTGAGGAATAGGAAGCGGAAACAGCAAGAATACAGAGAAAAATGATTCGTTCGTGTAACTTCGTGGGTGACGATGGAAAAGATGCAGCCAGTATGATACCAACGATTCTAAAAAAATGCCATCTGCCCGGATTGAACTTCATAAATCTCGAGCACAACCAGAAGATTCCTACGATCGAGAAATTCATAACGACCAATCGGATCGCAGTGCCGGCCAAGAAATTCTGTTTTACAATCAACTTTGGCACTACGAAGCACCAATTCTCGATAAAGAGAGGATCGGTGTATTGTACGGTGTATCGTACTTTTAAATTGTTTCCCCATAGCGGCATCGAAATTAGGAGAGCGTCATATTTTCCAGAAGCTATGTCAGGCATGATGCCATATTGAGAGCCGTTAGGCATTTTCTGGAAATATACGGCCTCTGTTATTATTTTAGGCACACCGGTGAAGTTCATTTTATCCGCCAAAACCTCACACAGGAACTTGTCCACACCTTTCAGCTCTTGTCCCTTCGATGTTGATACAATATCGCTATAAGGCGGTCGGCGGGTAAAGGCGTACACCAGCGGGTAACCCTGCATATTCGGAAATTCATCTGTAAACCACGTGATATCTGTAGAATATGGTTGTTCGGTATGAGTGTCGGTGAACGGGTTGTATCGATGGACAATCGTAGAGTACTTGTCGGCGTACTGAGATTTGAAGTATTCCACGACGATTGCGTCGAGAATCTTCTTCGACCACATCGCTCGAAAGAGCGTCGCGAGATCGTGACACGGTCGACGGAGTATCATCAGCACGAGCACCTTGGGCCGGACACGGTCGTGAATGAAGCGTTCCGTGTCTTCAGCCACGAGCTCGCTCTCGACGATATCCGGTCCTCGCCCCGAGACGTAGATGTACACTACCAGATCGCGTGACATTGCCCAAGAAGAAACCCGAAACTCTGGCTCCATCCGATCCGCGTTTACGTAGAGCGTCGGTACGCGTTGAGTGGTCGCCGCGGCTATTTTACCAAGAATATCGTTCGTCCGTCCGTCTAATAGCGAATCTCGAAGTATGAGAAGAACATCGTTAGCTCGTGACGTTCGCAATACTTTGCTCAAGATATCCGTGAAAAAGTCTTCGTCCGGACGATCGTTCGGCGGGACGAGACCGCTTTGAATTTCGACGAGACGAGAAAGCATGATGGTCCAGAGCAAACGTCGCCACATGATTCTTGTTTCGCCGATGACGAAAGGAAATGACTATGGTTATCGGAAGTAGTTGAAATGACGACTGCGAAGAAAAACTCAACATTGAATATCGGCAACTTGCAATTGCGCAACTATAGTTACGTATAGGCCATACATTAACGAAGGAAATATGAGTTCCGTTAAAACATTTACGGGGAATTGCTTTTCGTGGAAAAACATTATAACCGCCCGTCGCACGTAATAGTTAAAGATCATTAGTCTTTGCCACTAACATATATTGATTTTTGTATATCAAGGATAAAAAATCGATCTTTGCCTTGAGTGTCATCAAATAAAAGCTTTAAAGTGCATGCAATTTTTTGTATAATTGAACCGTTATATTTTAATTTGTTCAATTATCTTTGATCACTTTCTTGGAAATTTAGAAAAAATTTTCCAAGAAAGTGAATATTTAAACACATTATCCTACTACGCATAACTTTTTATCATCAAAATAAATAAAGCAGAGCTGTGAGAGAAAACCTATTAAAATAGTTTTTATATTATAAATAAATCGATAAATAAACTGTTTAAAGATTATGTCTTAAGATCTGTTGCTTTTTAATCCCTCGAAAATTAAGACTGATTATTTCTAGAATTCTTGGACTACAGTTTAAAATAATTATTATTTATTAAAAAAGTATTAAATTTTTTATGTGTTCTGCAAATTTAAAATCCGATACGAATATATTATTGATATATATTTATGGTACTATTGGTACACATATATATAGGTATTGCAACATATAAAGAGCTACTTTAGAATTAATTCCCACGAGTTCGCGCGAGACTAAAGGAAATGGGATGGCCGTTGGCCGTGTGCGTATCCGGACGCCATAGTCCAGTGCCCTTTTAAGTTAAAGGGAAGAAGAGTCGACGGTGAATGCCGCAGAAACCGAAGGGACACTGATATAAATCAACGTCCGGCCGGCACGACGACTTGCGCGAGAACGGAACGGAGTAAGCTGAGGAAGAGAGACGCGCGCGCGGATGGCGAGACACCGAACTCCGAAGTCGAAGTCGCCTCGTGTCCCCCCCTTTTGCTACTTATGCTAATGCCGAAAATCAATTTATTTATATTTATTTATAGCATTCAAATGTTTCCCCCGAAACGGGGCTGAGGCTGAGCGCTCGCGCGCGCGCGGACGTCGCCGGTTGTCGGCGCGGACCACCCGCGAAAGCGAGCCGATCCCGCTCGCTGCGGGCTACGAGATCCGTGGGGTCCCAAGATCGTCCCCCTTCTCTCAGACTGATACAGATAGCTGGAGAATGCCTGAACGTGAGTCTGGGCAGTTCGCTCGACGCATCACCGGTCGATTTGAAATTTCACGATGCAGATTTCTGAACACGAACACGACTAGGAAGGAAAGATAAAATATTTTCACGAATGGGCTTTGAATCTTGAACGACGCGGCAAACATTTGTCGTAACAGTCGTGTCCTATTTTCTCAGAGGCATATGATTTTTTACAATTTGGCTGCGTAGGGACATTGAACTGTGTGCTCCATGTGCTGGTACACGCGAGAGATCGCGTTTGATAAAAACTTGTGGACGTTTAGAGACAGTTGACTGGCAACTCGTTTATTTTCTAATACTGGTTGCGTGCCTATATGCATATAGTGCAACATTATATCTGTATATATTTATATATTTGTTCCACATCACAATGTTTGAGATATTTAATATCATAACTTAATTTAAATTTGTATAATTTAACATATAATAAGAAAGCTAAGTTTTGACGTAAATTAATTAATATGAGATAAAATATTTTTTTACACGTTGTCGAAATATGCAATTCTAAAATTGCCTTTTTTTAGGATAACAGATTTTTATTCTTTTTTACATTTATCTTGAGGATAAATCACTTTATTTTCTGTTTTGCACTCTCTTTACGTTGAGTTTGCCGCTATAAAATAATTTCACTCTTATGGTGAATATGCATGCCACTATATACCGTGACACTATAACAAGGAACATCACATCTGTCGGGCGCGGTTGACTCGAGTCACGCGTGACGTATAACGCCGAAGAACCCGAGTACACCCGAAGTCTTCAGTAACGTACATATGAAAAGATATGATATATCGAGAGAGTTTCTCGATTTTTGCTCACAGCATAAAAATTATTTCAATTTTTTAAAACTTCAGTATATACGTCCCAATATTTTTTAGGTCGCACGCTTATCTTTCGATATTTAATTATTTCGAAATGATTTTGAAGTATATTAGTATATAATAAATATAGATTTACTTTATTAGTAAGACACCCTTTATAAACAGCTGGATGAGAGGTCAGAGTACACCACGTTAATTGTAATTAATTGTGATAATTAAACAATTATGAACACGACGTATAAAACATATATAGAATGATTCCAATATGACTCCGGGAATTTTATATATCATTGAAGAAAGCTCTTCAATATTTATTTGCAATATTAAACATATTATGGAGTTTGCAGCTATTTGTAGTTTTTTATGTCAATAATCTTGTAATAATATTGCCCTCGGTATTTGATTATATTAGACAATTAAATTATTCATTATAAATGTTGCCTGAGGCTTTTTTAGCGAGTAGCTTGCTCCGGTTCGTTTTTTTCTGAGTCACCCGGTATAACTACTGGAGGGCTAGCGCAGCGCGCGGTCAGTTGTGTCAATTATAGGCGTGGACATATAGAATATATAAAGAGTATTTGGAGGCATTGAATCTCTCGCTCCTCGCTATCGTGAGGAGTTTTCGTAAAGCAAAGAGTGCTAAGACGTTCCTCACACTTTCCCCGAAATGGCCATCGGAATCCGCTTTTCCTTTCTCGTGACAGCGTTGCTCTTTATTTGCTGCATCCAAGAAGGTATATAAAGTCAGATATCTGAAAAATATTTAAGTATTAATTAATATTCTTATATTAACCTTCAAATAACCTTCTCCGGGATCGAGATTACGAATACTTGGCGCGCATTTGCGTATCGTCGGTGTTCTTACGAAGATTTGCGCGTAACTGCGATAAGAAATTTATTTCACAAACATATTCCTAACCTCTTTATAAAATAAACTTTATATAAAAACAAGCATGCATTAGAGAGTATTTAAATAGACGGTTTAGAATATTGGGGGGTATATACTTGCAGTTGGAAATAGCAAATCGCTTCGAACGTTGCCGTATTCTTTTAGGTCTTTCTATCAAATGTTGGGTATGCAGGTCAGACTCGGATCCGAAATGCGCGGATCCGTTTGACAATTCCACAGTGCCCATTACAGACTGTAAGCAGGAACCCGACTTGGAGCACCTGCCAGGCGTAAAACCAACGATGTGTCGTAAAATTCGTCAAAAAGGTTATTTACTTATTTATAATATAGAATTATGCAGTTGCACATACCAGCTAATATACAAAAATATAAATCTGTTGTTCGTCGATTTTATCATTGCACCCCTGTATTTCGTATGAATTATTTTCGTTTTACAGTTAACGGGGAATGGAGATATTTTCGTAGCTGCGCTTACATGGGCGAGCCAGGGATCGCGGGTGACGAGCGATTTTGCTTAATGCGAACTGGAACGTACAATATATTTATGGAATACTGTACATGCAATAGCAAAGACGGTTGTAACTCGGCGCCCTATCAATATGGCAATTTGTACCTCTTGTTAATCGGCCTGATAACAACCGTTCGATACGTATTCGGCGTTTAAAGAAGTCTAGCCAAAGATTCTTAACAGATCTGATTCACTGGATAGTTTAGATTTCCGTAACTATCTTTGCAGTTCAAGATTCACTTGTACTTACTCAATACTCCTCTCTCATTTTTACACATCGAACGTCAGGAAAGACGCAAACTCCAGCAATCAAATATACATATAGATATCGTAGTTTTTACTATGCAATTTTATATGCAATTTTTATAATTTTTTACGCAATCAAATGCCTTTTTATATCTTTAAAATATCAACGATGGCAATCTTTAATATTTAGAAGAAGGAATAACTTCCAGGAAGTCAATAATTTACCTTGACTTAAGCTACATTTTATCAATAAATTACATATTTTCTAGAAATATATTTTTACTGCTATACAAAAAAAATGTATATTTGTACTATTTTTTTCCATTGTAATGTTACTATAGTACAAATTATGAATCTTACTAATATCGAATTAGTCGATTATTACAACCCCAGATATTAAGGATAAGACTGCTAAAACCGTCCAGATTAATCATCGCGATCAATTTAGTTTTAGCGCGGCATTTTGCCATTTTCTTATGATTTTTGTATATATTTTCTTAATAATTAGCCTTTTACTGCCATACAATATAAACAAGGCATGATCTGTAACATTGTATCACCGACGTACTTTATTCGTAAATATAAAGCACAATATCATTCAATATATTGTGCTCAAAATTTACTATATGAAGTTGTTAGACGATTGTATATGAAGTTCATATAATAAAATGATTTTTGATAACTGGATATTATCTTGATAAATATGAAGGGAGCTTTCCAGCAAGCGACACAAGTCGACACAGGTATCGTTTTGTCTTTGTTACTCATTGCCAAAAAAGAAAGATAGAACGACGTTTGTGTCGGCTTGTGTCACTTGTTGGAAAGCTCCCAAAATCTGAGAAACTTTATCGAGCTTTTTATTCGTCGCAGGAGAATAATAAAATTTATAGGTAATATGAGATATATTTATAAATAAAGTTAGTTTCTGCGTCTTAGATACAATACAGAAGTAAATAAAAATATTATTTTTAACAAAATGTATGCGTACTTTTTGGTGTCAGCAATTACAAACATACAAATATTCCTTAAAATACCGTCAAAATATGCATTATGATATTTAAAACAATCATAGAGAGTTATAGAAAACATATTGACTGATATTACATAATTTTATAAATACTTTGGAATTTTCTTAACTATTTTTTTTTGTGGTATTCTTTCTTTTATTTGAACTGTAAAAGCACTGAAAATATTAATACTAATTAATTCATACTTAATGTCTGAAAGAGTACACACAGAAAAATATCATTCTACATCAGCCAAAGAAAGCAATTACTTATTTTATTTTATTTGTTTTAAGTAATAGTTTTCTTCAACAAAGAATATTTTCTTAACAATAGTTTTAAGATAGACTTGGCACAAATCTTAGAAAAGCTTATCGTTTTGTGTTCAAAACAAGAATTTATTCTCTTCTTTCAAGAATATTATGTATTTAAATATATGCTTCTCTCCCGTAAACTGTATATAGTAAGTAAACCAAATTCTTGTATTAATTAAATATTTTTGTTTGAAGTACTAGACTTAAATTGCTAAGATCCAGAATATGCTTTGAGTAAATATGATGCTTGTGATGCCTTTATGGTAGATTTGCGGGTATATACTTATCAAATACTTAGAACAAGTAATATTTACTTGTAGGTAGTATGTGTTTTTCTGTGTGTACGGTGCAATTATATAACAAATATATTTTGCAATTTTTGAGGTCTTAATATTGACATACTTTATGTTAATAAACGTACATATAAATAATGATTGATAAAAAAATATTTCGATGTATCACAATTGGAAATAGCTTTTTGTTAATATCAATTCCGAATATTGATCGCTGTTACTCTATTTCTAGCTAGCGCGGTAATAAAAATGAGCATTAAAAGTACATATAAAACTAGTCAAAAATTTATCGTTATTAAAAGATATATCATCTTTAACGACACACTTTCGTAAGCAATTACATATATGAGCGTTTAATTCATATAAAAATTATTATGTCTGTGTCGAAACAAAATATCAATTAATACTAAAGTAACATGGCGATTTATTCTCGTGATCTTATGAAATATGATATGTTGTACTTGTTACGATTATCCATTTTACCTATACGCTTAGACAATATTTATATGCTTATAGACAACAGTTCTTATTTTACGGACGGTTACATTGATCGGATTTCAGACAGAAACATTGAGTTTTCTCCTTTGCGGAATCAAGGACGGGTTAAAATTGGCAAAGGTTTTGTACATACAGAATATGTGCAGTCGAAAATTGTAACTAGATTCATGCATTTAAAAATAGTTTCCTCTTGTAAAGTCACGTAATTTCTCATATAAAATCAGTAGGGGGGTCATAGACGTCAGCATGTTCAGCTCAAGAAAGATTTACATAGACGTTTGCATTCGTATACGTTTCTATGGTATTCTTTGGAATAGCCTTATCGATCGGTGTCTTAAATATTTATGGCATAGCGTATAGCGCTCTCGTTTTCACGCTGTTGTGACTCTATAAGATATCTAAGAGGAAAGTCGTTCAATGGCTGCGGTTTTCGTAATGTTGAATAAGTTGCCGACTTCTCACGCGCCTTATTATTATTTTTTTTTTTATTCAAACGCCTGCCACTTCGTTATCTGTTGTCCCGGTTTCGCCAGAGCTTGCTTCCAGTGTTCGCCATAAGTTCCACCGACATCAGGCCCGATCACAAAGTGGCCTACGGGAGTCTTCTTGCCTAAATAATAGTAAGAGCAATACGATATATATCGGTGTTTTATATTTTATAAAGGTAAAACTTTTAAAGCTTACCCATTTTATTCTTTGAGACGAACTTCACAACGAAGCTTACGTCGTTGAGCGCTCCTTTGTACGGATTGTCGGCGACGACTCTCGCCGCCTCCGGCGAGAATTTCATAGACACCGTCGGTACAAATCGATCGCTCTTCCAGAAATGTGTTACTCGACCGTTGTCAACAACCGACATCTTCAGATACATCTGTCCTTTTAGACCCTCGTGCTCATGCATTGTCTGAAGCGAACATCTCAGACGGTTCAGAGACAATATTAGCTGCCCGCCACTGTCTTCATCTTTCTCGCCCTTCGATAGACATAAGGACAATTCAACTTGTCCCTTCTTATTCTCTTTCTGAAAGAATATTTTATATATTTTGATAGAAAAATTAGATAAAGAGTATAGCGATGTATATCACAGAGGAAAATTTCAACATTTATAACAAATAAACGCGCACCTATTATATACATTTTTTATTAATATATATGTATATAAAGTGACACCACAGCTATTTCCAAAGAATTGTAAAAGTGAAAAAAGTAGATGTAATTTTAATAATCAGGATTTTATCATGAAAATGAGATTTATCTTTGAGAAAATTTCTACGTTAAAAGTATGATTGCGCAGTTACACAATAATTGGGAGTGCGTACGATATCGTTGTATTAGCTGAAGAGTAAATTTGCATGTACATTGCAAATAGTGTATTCAGCTCTTCTTCATTCAGAAATGGCGTAACTGTGGTTTTTGCGACCGCAGTGCCAGTCGTTACGAAGCTGCGAAAACTTACTCTTTCCTCGGCACCTGAGATACCACTGGCAATCGGTCGTAGTGGTTTCCACAAGTCCCCTGTGGACACATCGCTGGCGTGCTTCGACTTTGGCGGTTTGCAAACGAAGTTCTTCGGGTCAAGTGGAATTGTCGTTGCGCCAACGGTTCGTCTCTTGTCGTAGGCTCTTCTCTCCACGACCGTGGGTTCCGCGAGTTTGTCGGAATTCTTGCCGAAGAACTGGCTGAGGAGTTTGCAGTTCTTGGTAGAATCCTGATTATCGGCAGAAGTGCTCTGACCTTCCTTCTTTTTGCCGCCCTTCTTTGGCAATTCTTTAGTGGGCGACGTTTTATCCGAATCCTTCTTTTCAGTCGCTATCAGAGGCTTGTCCTCGAGAACCGCGTAGAGAGTCGCGACGATAAATCTAGATCCGTTAATTTCTTCCTCCACGACCTTTGATTTGCCAAACTTTTGCTTGGTTTCTTTGCGCAGAAGGAAAACAAATTCCTCGTTCCACTGTGGCCAGGATTCATTCCTCGACGTGGTCTCGAACTTTTCCTTTCCAGGAATCAGCTTCACCTGAAAAATTACGATTGTCAGTTTCTTCAATATCTGATAGCAAACTCCGATTCATAATTTATCGCTCCAGTTTTAAAGTGGAAATATATAAGAATAAAACGAGAATAAAAAGTCAGAGAGAGAGAGAGAGAGAGAGAGATAGACACAAGCAGTAAAAGAAATTAATAGATTCTGACTTGTACTTATTTTGTGGCGAGAATCAATTTTCTAAAGAGAATTCTTTGAATTATAAAATGTTCATTTCTAATTCATCGATATATTCCAACGGTATAAGAAGAAAATTCATATTCTCTGTAAGATTGAATTTACGTCCAGTCGTAAATAATGCAATCAAGTTAGAAATATTTTTATGCCACCACTACTGCAGCAGACATTTCGTTAACGATCCGTGTATACCGCGTGCTCCCGAAATATGTTGAAGCGTTAAATTGATTTCTGCCACATAATATGCAGGTGTTTAGCGGGACATAAGTTGTCCTACTCGCGCGACCACGTCGAAGGAAGTCGTAAAGAACATTCTCTCGCCAGCCAATAGGATACTACAGTTAATGCCGGACTTCTATAATGCGTTACTCATATGGAATTACGTAATCACAGATAACACCCAAGAGTGCTGCGAGCGTCTCCGCCTCACGCGTAATTCAGGCTCGAGTACGACGGAGCGTAGCGGAGCGCGATCTTGCAGTTTGCATAGAAGTGTTGGCATCGTCTGGCATCTCCGACGCACATTTATCGAACGACATTGATTACTTCACTTCAGATCTTATTGGTGCATACAAAATTAAATTAACTATGTGTACGAAAAAAATTTTTTTTAATTGAATTATCGTATTAAATCCATTGATTAAAATTGTGGATATGTTCGTGGCGCTAAATGTGCGTGGAGAATACGAACCGTTGACGAGATGACATACGCGCTTCCTGTTTGCTCAAATGCGATCGATCCACATTCTCGAGCCATTTTCTCGTTTACTCTACCTTCACGACATAGCTATTGACTCTGGTGAAACCAAAGTTCTGTGGCAAGTGCCTGGCACCGAGCACGGTGACGTTCAATGTCTTGTCGTTCGGCGAGTGCACGATCTTGATGCCGATTTCCGGCTCCAGATTCACCGTGCGATCCAACGGCGTCGACACCGTCTTCAGGCTGTTGTCGATGAAATTCCTGATCTTCGCCAGCGCCATGTTCGCGCAATTGTCCTTTCGAATTCCCAATTACGGCTTATCGGCAAACGAGCGATCGTTTAGATAACGGTCGATCACCACGGGCTCGGTAGCGTTGTCCGCGAACGCTGCAAAATTCTATCGTGAGCGTTTTATTATGAGCTAGCTGCACAGGCGCACGCTAAAGGTGCGCTATTAATACACGCATATATATAATACGCCGTCATGCTCGCGGTTGTCCAGGAGATACGATTTTCGGAACGGCGCGTGATTATTTGCCGTGGATAACGACAAGAATTTCTGCAGATAACGAGATCTATATGTTCATTGTTATCATCTTGAAGCTATATAGTAATGACGGGTATTAATACATTGATTACTTCAATGTTTTATCAGCTCCGCTTGTCATGTTTGACTGATAGGAATAATTCCTCAAAATTACTTTATAAAAAATAGGGAGAAGTACCTCAATTATTTTTATGCTCGATTTTATATCGTGCGATGTAACGTTACTGTTATTCTACAACAGAGAGTAAATCATTTTACAGACTTACAAAATGTTTACAAAACAGTTATTACCAGAAAAGTATTAGAACAATGCTCCGGGGCGATTCTTTTGACTTTCGATCGTAAAGCGTGATCGTAAATTTTTCGCTCGTAAAGCAGCGTGCTTTCTCTTCTCATCGGGAAACACAATGCTTCCATCACCACCAACAAGTGATTATCAGCTGTTCTGAATCGACAATGGCCGGCTCGGCCCTTTCGCTCCCAATAAAGCCGCGCGCGTGCAAGAACAGGACATTCGAGAGCATCGAAGAAACGAGCTGTATAACGCGATCGAACTTTCCCCGAGAAAAAAGAAGCTTCGCCTCTCCTCGCGACCACGCCGTCGATCGATCCGGAGCATTGAGCCGCTATGCCACGACCGCTCCGGAGTGCCGGGAGGAAAATCGCGTTTGCCGAGACCCGGCGGCGGCACCGACCTCGATTATCGCATCATTAACTAAGGAGAATTGACGAGACAAATGCGATAGGGACGCTCGGCGTCTCCCATCTTCTTAATAGAGACTTCAACGCTCGGTGTGTCATCCGGAGTAGGAAGGAAAAAAACAAAGGCGATAATTTCTAATCTTCTTCCTCCGTGTTGTCTCGCCCATAGATTGAATGAAATTTTGCTCCAACTATATTAGTCGAATGCTTTATACAGCATATTCTTCGCGTTTCTCGCGAAGCAACGGTAACAGTAGCGGAAACGAATATCCTTTTTATTTTATTTATTCTCTTTAATTGCTTAGTTAATGTAATGGCAGCAAAAACAAATATTTTTATTTTGTTTTTATTTATTCTCCTTAATTGCTTAGCCAACGCGTTTTCTCGTTATTATCGGAAACATCTGAAAACGATCCGTTATATTATCTCCTCTCTAATTCGACGCGAGCGTGCGCGGTTTCGAATTACTGAGACACGAATTACAATGCACCGACTCGGGTGACGCGTCAGGTAGCTTGTTCCACACGCGCGACCCGCGAAAAGCAAAACTTGCACGTACCATAATCGCGATCCCGGCGATTCGGAGCAATTTGCTGCTGGCTGCTGCTGCGACGGCCGGCTCTCAGCGTCGGTCGAGATCCTCGGAGCGAAGCAGGAAGAGGATCGTTGTCGACCGGCGAGCGGCAACAACGGTCTAACGTCGAGCCACGTCTGGTGGATCTGTGATTGGCGAGGGTGCCCCGCGGCTACGATCTTTCTGTCGATGGCCAACGGCGTCAGACGCGCGATACCATGGTCACACTGGATGCGATCGAACGTGTACAACACGCACCACCACCTTCGTCGCCGCCGATCGCCGGGAGGAATTTTGCCGAGAGGCTTTCACCGCACACGCCGTCGTGGTCCGCAATCGCGTTCGCAGCGCATTGCGACGCACCGGGATCAACTTGGACGGTCATCAACAGCCGTCAACGAGATGCGTGGGACCCCATGAATGGCTGGCTTCGTGAGCGGATTGCGCGCGTGTGCGATCGTTATTGTAGTCGTGACAGCAGAGTCGTCTCGGCTCCGTTTGCGCGCGACGCGCCGCCGTGCGTGGTATGCAGCTTGCTTTCGCGTGGGTTCCCTTTATAAGAGACCAACGTGGCCGGTTTACAGTGGCGGATCGTAACAAGGCATTTTCCGATGGGCACCAGTCGGACAGAAATTTATAAAAGAACAGACGACGCGCGTGAGAAATTTGCCAAAAAGGATATGTACCGTCTCGCGTGTGTCATACATGCATTACAACACGTACGGATATTTTAAAAGATTTTTTTCGCTTATTTTATCGTACAAAGTATATGTAATTAGTAGTATTATTCTGCTTAATATATTTAATACATACAATTAAATCCTGTCGTGATCACGTCAGATGGTTAATTTTAAAGTTAAAATTAATTTAAAAATTTTTAATTTAAAATTAACTTTAAAATTTTTATGCTTTGAAACTCCAATATTTGCAACTACGATCGTACGGTACTGTCATAAAAGCCGTTACCGTTGAAGTAGGGGGATTTACTTGTACCCGCCATCGTACATCGTACACCGTCTCTAGATTGGTAAAGTGGTGGTTGTGGAGTGACGCCTGTTGCGCTCACAAGGTCGCACGCTCACATTGTGCGTTGCTGTGTATGTGCAGATGTGTGAGTGTGCAGGTGAGTGAACATATATGCACGAGCTTCTGCGTGAGTAAACACAACCACATGAATGAGGGTCTGAGGGTATACGGAAACAGGACCGTAAATAGTCATAAATTCTCCTTGTCCAAGATAGCGCCAGGAAAGTATATATAACGAAGTATATAACAAAGAATCTTTGCGATAAAAGATTTCAGTATTAGAGTTGATGTAATATTCCAATAACATGACGTGTCTTTTCGTAAAAAATAGAAATTTTTTGGAGGAGCGTAGAAATCTATGTATAGATAATATATCGGGACGGCATCACGCCGCAGCGATAAGCAAGCATAATATAGAGATTACCACGAATTAGTGATGAAAAATTGATACACTGGAGCGGTAAGTTATGCGACTCGTACATGCATAAGAATGATAACGATGGATCGGTGAATCGCGGCGAATAACACGTAATATAAATTTATACATCTTGATGCGTAGAAGAAACTAATTGTAATGTCACACATCGATCTCGTGTAGGCAGCTCGAAAGAATGCGGTAGAGAATATCGTTGCATAGAAAATGAATTGCGGCTACTGCATTAGAATATGATGCGTTCAATATGTTGCTGTCAGAAGCACTTGTTATCATTAAACAAATTATTTAAATGTACAATTTATTTTTTGTGATTAGTTGATTACTTTTAGATGTCTATCTGACTTCTAATTTATCGCAGTTCGATCTTCGGACCTCTTATTTTAGCGTGAGAGATAATACCTACTGTGAAAATAGAAAATATAAATTATATCAATGCTTTCTTACCATTTTGCCCATTTTTATTTATGCTCCTTTCTTATTTATACTCTCCATACGCGCGCTTATTATAGACATAGACAATAGACCTTTAGAAGGAAAAAACACATTCGCGTTTGCGGTTGCATTATTTCAAACGCAACAGTATTTAAATACGCGTTCCGAACGATGCTCTACGCGTATCTAATTGCGTTGATCGCACGTGATGATATGCAAGGATGGCTCTCTCAGGTATTATGGCCTTCAAAGTTAAGTAATGTTTGTCATCTTGATTATATCGAATAAACTTACATCTATTGGAAGCGAATCCAATTTGGTATCAATATTGTTTATCGTTTCTTCAAGTGTAAATGATTTTATACATAATTGCATGATTTATAATCTAAAAAGATAAACAATCTTACCAAGCATTAATTAGAAAATGAGTAGAAATAAAATAGAAATAAAAAGTAATAGTTACCTAGTGGTGGATAGGTAAATTTTTAATAATTTTAGTTACTCGTAAGGTGACGAAACTGATATTTTCTGCGGAAGTTAAGCAGCGGTTTCAAGAGTCGAAAGCAGCTACGTGCACCCTACTCTAGATGGCAATAATGACGATGATCAACCCCTTCTTCTACCAAACAACCCCCACGATTGACAAACAGCTGTTCAGCACCGCCATGGCGCACGCGACGTCGCGACGTCAAAAACACTTCGAACAATTTCGATTTATCCATGCCGAAAAAGTCTTTCCGCGTCGCGACACGATTTATCTAGTGATAAACTTTCGATCGTAGACCGGTATTTCGCGATAGTGCTTCGGGCTGTGCCAATTGTATATTCGCGAGTGATATTTAAGTGACGTTTCAGAAATATTAAATGTGAATTTTGATCTTTAACAGGTAAGAATTTATGTTTTATTTACTTTTTAACGCCTTTATGTTTTGGGTTTGGGATAATAGTCTAGAAGTAGGTGTTGCATAATTTTTAACAAGATAACGCAACGGAAAGAGTGACACATAATCGGCAGATCAGAAAGAGATATCATATACAAAGATAATGTAATAAAGAAAATTAAGTGAATTTTTCTTTAATTAATTATTTTTAATAAAAAATTTTGAGTAATTTTTATTGTAGGTGCGATATATTTTTTTATTACCTTTATTGCATAATATTATTTGAATAAATAAGACACGTCAAATTATTTTTAAAAGGAAATAATTTATTTTATAAAACATTAAAATTTCTTAATTGTTTTATTAAAAGGATATTATTTCAAGAAGTATGAAAAAGCTATTTACTTATGCATATATCAGTATATTGTTTTATTTTATGTATATATATTATATACGTGTTTTTTTTTTAATTAAATGCGTACTCAAATTACCAAGATACCTTATCTAAATCGTTACAAAATACTTAACTTCTTGATCGTAAGATGGCACCACATAGATATAGTTCGATTTGACAAATTCAGAAAAATTACTTTATTATCCAGATTATCATTTACAACTTATATTCAAATTCGGTACTTGTCATTTTTATATTAATCCGTTCCATTATTCATGTTTGAAAAAATTAAGAAATAATTTCAAACAGAAAGAAGAAGATTCTATATTCTATCACGCATATTTATATGTTTATATAATTACATGTTTGATATACTTACACGCTTATAATATTTATAATATTTATGTAACATGTAGGAACTCTCGAGTGTATTTTCCATAACAGGTGTCAGATGATTTGAGATTCAGAATTATATGGACGACGCTTCTCGCATCTATGGGTGTGTCGCGCGCGCATTTTTCTTCCAGCTATAAAATAATCTTAAGTGATTTATCTCAAGATGCTAATATAATCTGCATGCACGTGACGAAGAGCAATGGGGGTATAATCCTTTTTTTCAGAAAGGAAGGGCGACGCACACGATCTGGAAAATCATACATTCTGTTTTCAGTTACACGTGTTCTTATTCAAGTCACGTTCCGACGACAAGGGTAATAGCCCCGAACTTTGTCTTGGTCGGATCAGCTTAACTTCCGGTAGTAAAATTTCACGAAATTCCAGTGCGGTCGCGCGGCGAAATATGTTTTCTGTGGTTCCTGGCATTTTTCAGCTTGATCGATCACTGCCACATTGTTATACCGTAGGAAGCCGGAGATATAGCGGACGTTTTTATGAGTTTCCTGAAACATGGACGTTACATCACGCCGATTAATTTACATTACCATAACATACACTCGCAACTTTAAGAAATTAAAAGAATAATTTGGGCAGAAAGATATCAAAATGACCTTTTTAATTTAAGAAAATTAGTTGAAGAAAGTTGAAGAAATAATTATTTCTGTTAATATAATCGCGAAATATTCGCCAAACTTTATTTGCATAATATTTGTTTAATGTAACTGTGGGTTCCAATTATCTGTATCCATAACAGACCTATCTGATGTTCAATATACGGTGGCGCGACGATACAATGAGAAAAAAAAAACCCGATATAGTGAAATTACATTATGCGCTAGTAATCCGCGCCGCATTACGATGAATGCACGTGTCTGCGGCTTTTCCGCGCGTCACAAGATTCATGAATGCAAATATTCCACGAATAAAGAGTCACGCGCGCTCTTTACATCATTCACCTTTCTCATTTTTGTCCCGCGTCTCCTTCCACACCCTCTCCCACGCCTTTGTTCTTCCTTACGCTATTTCCCTCTCGCCTTCCTCCATAATAGGTCGAACTTTAACCCCCTCCCCCTAGACGTATCCTGATGTACGCGCTACCCATTTTCGCGTTTATGATTTAATTTAATGAACGCAACTCCGCACTTTCCCACCATCGACAGCAGTCCGCGCGCCTCTTCCCTCGATAAATCTTCGGCGTACGCCTTATTATAAACTCTTTTGCGCGGCGCAATTTAAAAGTGTAGCTCGCAAGTTCGTCCCATGAAGCTTCGTATTAAGCTTCCACTTTAAAAGCGGCACCTCGGCAGCCGGTAGAAGTATCGCCGAAGTTTAGCTAATCATTTCTCATCGCGGACGCTGATAAATTATTCAATTATAACGTCCACTGCCATACACACCAACCGAACAATTCCAAAGTACTGCTGCAGGAAAGAAAGAGAGAGAGAGAGAGACGGAGAGAGAGCTGAGAAAGAATGTGGTGCATTTCCTTGACGCTATTCGAACGTTTCTCGCGATATCGAATTAGTATCGCGCCGACAGTACGGGGATTAAAGTCAGATTTCGAAGTACTTGGTAATTCTCTGTACGTATTTCTCGCACGTAGTCGTAGCTTGATATATTTAACCTTCCTTTGACCCTGCGCGCCCTTTTAAGTGCATCATTACGTATTCTCTTTTGTAACGCCGGGTTTTATGCAGACCACATTCGCAGCACCTTCCTATTCTTGATCATATCCCATATGAACCATGTAAGGATTGTAAGGTATTAATTATATCAACTATCCCTTATTGTAAATGTTTTCTATTAGCTATTACCTAAATGTATGTATGATAAATATGTAAATCAAGAAGTATGTGTATTGTTTATATTATACAGAATCTCACGTTTGCCTAGCTAGCTGCCCTCCCCCCTTGATAAAAATTTAACGAACAAATTATTTTGTGATTAAACGAAATAAGTGAAAAATTTTTTTCTTATAAATATGGAGAACGCATAAATAGAATGCATATTATCATATAATTTATTCGTTAAATGTGGATCAGGTGAAGGACGAGTTAGACAAACGTTAGAATCTCGCTAACAGAAACGCACAGTGGATCTCTTTCGATCTATGCAAGGAAAGTTTTACAATCGGGCAAATCTAAGGGTAGCGCGCCAGCTTTAATTGAAATCTATTTACGTCTCCCGGCGTAGATTTCAACGCAATTTCTGTTAATATCGGCGTGTTCACCTCGCTGTTGTATGACACTTTGTTCCAGTTCTGCAACACGACGACAGAGAAAGAGGTCGGAAGTTTCTGGATGTCGGTAATGAATATATGAATGTATAAACGGTCGCGTTTGTCACTCGAGAATCGTACGTGTATCGTTTCATGAATATCTCGCGTATCAAGATCACGTTTTCAATGCCAGCAAGACATTTAACGTCTCATGTTGCTACTCTTATTGAAGAAAGTTGAACTCTCAAACAATCATTCTTTTCATTTTCTCCTACGGCTTTAATATACATATGTATATGTATATATATGTATATATACAGGGTGTTCCAGGTCAGGTTAATAAAACTTCAGAGTCTTGTAGGAAATTAAATTTGGAACAAAAAAGTTCTTATAAACATAGGTCACGAAACGCCTCGTTGAAAAGTTATAGCTAAACTTCGAAAAATCACGTTCTTTTGATGATGTTTAAAAATAACCCTTCAAAACCCATCATTTATTTTAAAAAAGTTATGAAATCTAATAGGTAATTAAATAACAAACTAAATTACAACAATTTTATTTAATTCTGATAAGGCGTTCAAAAGAAAATAAGCTCAAAACAACAAAAAACGTAGAAACTTGAAAAAACCACCTTTTGATGATCTTTGTGTAAACATTACATTCATAGCGTTCATTTTAGTGTAACAATTAGCCAGTTATTTTTAAAAATCATAAAAAACGTGATTTTTCGAAGTTTATTAGCTATATAATTTTTTAATAAAACATTTTCGGATGTTTGTAGGAACTTTTTTGTTCCAAATTCAATTTCCTATAAGATCCTGAGTTTTTAATGACCTGACCTGGAACGCCCTGTATATAATTAGTTTTTGATCTTTAATAGAAATAATTATTAAGAGCTAAGAGTTTGGATAGTGCATACCAATTCCTTTTGTCCCGAGCACCGAATGAAATATCACAAAATTGCATTTGTGCTGCTCATATCGTGAACGAACATTGCATATTATAAATGAATACTCGTGATAGACATCTGTCCATCAAATTTACAATCGTGGCATCATCAATTGTCCGAATCCCTACGCAGACAGAAATTTCATTTATCGAGAAAGTTTAAATCAAACCGCCATTACTCACGATGCGGCAACTGTGACGGAGCATTTCGATTCACCAGAAGGCAATTGAAATTCGTTTCGTCACTGGCTTTTACGAGTCCTCCTTTTTTGCGATTTTGCAATTTATAGTAGGTATTTCAAGATTCTGAATCGGCACAATTTGGCGGTACGCGGAAAAATACAATTCGTTTCGTACGTGGGTGGGGCTTTTTAGCTCTCTTTTTAATTTTCTACCTATCCTGCGGTAGAACTCGACGAATGTAAATTTCTGTCGATTACGATTGGCGTGCAAAAATCTATTTCATGAAATACGTTCGTAGTTTGTCAATCATGCAGAACAGAGCGCTTTGGAAAATCGGAACGTAAACAATTACTCAACTCGCGATCGTACGTATGATTTATCTATAACGTAAAATTGTTTAATTCATGATCGCGGGAAGAAAATATGTATAGGTCTTGCCATTTTGTTGGAGGTACTAAATTGTCATGAATTTCGACACTTCGCGCAACTCGAATCCCCGAAACTTGCAGATAAAACGGATTAGTACCGAGCGTAGCCGAATGAAGGGGATGTAAATCGATTTCGTCGTGCCCTTAAATTCTATTAGCGCCAACTCCGATTGCATTCTTCAAATGGAAATAATAGGGAACGAGATTTTCACGACGGTGAAGTGATTTCGACAAAGCAAAGTCGCGCGCCGGGCGTGTGATTAGATTTTACACTCTCGCTTTACCTTCACCGAATGCCGTTGTCTTCGTTGTGCCCCTTAAACGAAGCCCTTCGCCCGAAACGTTACGAAGCGATATTGGAAAATAAATTTTGCGTAATCGTGTTTCGACTATGGAGGGGCCCACCGTGGCTATTAAACGCAGGAAATTCTTGTCCTGC